TCTCTTTTAACAAAACCATTCCTCTTTAATGTGAACATATTTAATCTGCCCATGTTTATTTACTACAATTCCATGTCTACCACTGGCCATAATCAGATGACTTATATTTCTAATTGGAACACTTCTAGCAATATCTTGACCCATTAAATGTCATCCTCAACCCTTAAAGATATATTTATTTTATTTGGAGACATTGTCAAATTCTAAAATCATACTGCATGGGTGGCATGTACTATTGAGTTTCTAATTTTTTCTTGAGTGTGATTATGTAAGTAATTATATTAAAAATTTTAGCTTCTTGGATAGTTTAAGATGGTATGAACCAGGAGCTGGAGAGATGGCTCAGCCGTTAAGAGTATTGACTGCTCTTTCAGAGGTCCTGAGTTCAAATCCCAGCAATCACATGGTCACTCAGAACCATTTGTAATGGAATCTAATGCCATCTTCTGGTGTGTCTGATGACAGCTATTGTGTACTCATATACGTAAAATAAAATCTTTTAAACAAAAATGGTATGAACCATGATGATGAAGCCTAGGATTTATAAGTGAACAAACTTAAGTCTCAAGGAAGTTTCTAAAACGGATCTCAGATGATTAATGATGTGATCGTACATGAAGCAAATCAATTTGCAATGAGAATTTTGCAGTGTTAATCATCTTGGAAACATCCTTTTTCTGAAATTTATGTAAATCTTAAAATATCAATTATTTGGTTCAAAGTACATTGTATAATGCATAGCACGCTTAGCTAAACAGAAAGCTAAATAGACTATGATTGAATGTACAGAATCAGCAATGAAGACAATCATGGTTAGTAGAAAAAGAAGAAGATAATTGAGCTGTTATAGGAGGTTCTTCTTGGTGACTTATTCTAACTAAGCAGTGAAGAGCAAAAAGTACTGAAGTGAACATGAGAATCAAAGCTATTTCACCTAACATGTTTCTCTTTCCACTGGATTTCTAGCTCCACGTGAGAGGGCCTCTTGTACTAAAACTCCCGTTTCCGTTTTTGATTCTGAAGCAATTAGACAGTGATATTGGCAAATAACCCACTTAATGTTTTCTTTGGTGACAGAAAAGAAAATTGTTAGAGGGAAAGACTTGTGCTATCATATATTAACACTGAACACTTTATTTCCCTAGGAGCATAAACATATCTCTGCTCTTCAGGGGATGGGATGTGCTTATGCAAAGACTTCCATTAGAAAGCAAATCAAGTTTTAACCTCAAATTTCAAACACTTGGTTGCAAACTACTTCCTTATTTGTAAACATCTCAGAGTTGGGGTTGGAAAAATACCTTTAAATATTTTTCAGTTTTACCCATTCTGAATTTTGTATTTCACTAATAGAGTAAATTACAGTAACTTCTCTGATAGGAACATCATAAAAGCTGAAGACTAGTAAGGTTGTTCAGTGACTTATGTTTTTCACAAAATTGTAGACTAGAGTTTAAACCCAGAAGGCCCATTGTAAAGAAGAAAATTGTCTTCTAGCAAGCTATTCTCCCTTAAGCTCTGCATGTAGGAATGGGATACTGGGTCGGTCATAAACATAAGCACACACATACACTCCACACACATACACCACACATGCGTACACACACACACACACAAATTAACAAATACAATTTTAAAATACCAACAACTTTATATTTACCTTCTGACATTAAAGTTCTTTCTGTAGCTTGGGTATTGAGTCTAACTTGTCTCCCAATGATTCCTCCAGATTGAATTCTTCACCTGTCACTGCTATAGCTATTGTTGCCAAGAAACCATCCTAACTGTGGGAGCCAGCTTACTATTCTCAAACATGTCAACTTGCCCTCGTTGGCCTTTCCAGTGACTCCGATGACTTAACTTCTTTCTCATAGTTATAATAATCTTTTTAAACCAGGGCCTTCAGTTATAATTAAAAACTAAACAACAAAAGATAAGCTCCACTCATATGTAATTGTATTTGTGTTTGTGTGTTACATAAAATACCATTGTTAAATTCTAGAAATGATGAGTAATAGCAGCATTTACTCTATTCATTTTTCTATGAACTGAGTATCTTCACAGAAATCATTGCCAATAGCATCAATACTGATAAGCATTTGTCATGATGAACAAATACAGAATTACAAAGTTTCAGAAATATGTGGTAAAATTCTGAGAGGATTGGGGAATGGTGCACTGAGCTAAGTGCCTATTGTACAAATTTAAGGACCTATTTTTTGAGTGCCAGCAATTACATGAAATCAAGATGTGTTTTCATGCACCTGTATTTTCATCGTTTGATGCTATGGACAGGGTGGAGGAGGGTCTCTGTGGCTTGGTGTTCAGTTGATCTATAGCCATAAAGTAAGATATAGGTTCAGGGAGAAATTCTGCCTCAAAAAACTGTAAGATAAAACATTTGAAGAAACCATCTTATTCCAACTTCTAACTTCCAGGTAAATCTCCTCATACACAAAGACATTCACACATATACAACTATATACCCACAGAGACATACATCTTCATAGGTAATCTCAAAAACACACACAGAGATGCATCTTCACAGATGAATAAACACACATACAGACATGCACCTTCACAGGTGAGCATACCCACAGACAGACAGATAGATAGACAGACAGACAGACAGACACACACACACACACACACACACAGAGAGAGAGAGAGAGAGAGAGAGAGAGAGAGAGAGAGAGAGAGAGAAACATGTATCCTCAGAGGTGAGCACTCTTGAACACAGAAAGAGAGATAAGTACCTTCACAGGTGAACACATACACACATATATTCATCTTCACACATGCACACACAGACACACACAAACACATACATACACAGACTCAGAGAGAAACTCGGAGAAGGCAAAATTATATTCTATGATTTACAGTGCTATCATATAGACTTGAAAAAAATGAACCACGTCATCATGCTAGAGACAGAGTATATAGGGTCTCTAATATGGTCATCATGTAAACTACTTAGTGCCCATCGTATCTAAGCCTTACTCAACTTTTGTCATTGATAAGAATTAGAACAGTGTGCTAATGTGTTTCCACACATTATTTTCACTCATATCAGGACTTTGAGCCCATTATTTTGTCAGAAATCATGTACTTTCTGGTAAATACTGCAGCACGGTAAGGTTATAATGTGGTCATTAAGTATAATTTATTTATCAGAAATGAAGATAGCATATTTTAATTTATTATAGACTATGAAAATCTCTTTGAGAGAGATTTGTGGGGAGGAAGGAGAGTTAACAAAATAAGGAATTGGAGGGGGTAAAGATATAGAAGAAAGGAAACTAAGGAAAAATGGAGAAAGATGAGGAGGGAAATATATAGTATATAGATAATAATATAGATAGGTAATAGATACATGATAAGTTAGATCAATAAATGATAGATACATAGAGAGACAGATGATAGATATAAAGATGATAGATGGATAGATAGATAGATAGATAGATAGATAGATAGATAGATAGATAGATAGATAGATAGGTAGATGACAGATAAGTAGATAGAAATGACAGATAGGTGGTAGGATAGTCAGAGTTTCTACTCCTGTACAAAGATTGTGACCATGAAGCAAGTTGGGGAGGAAAGAGTTTTATTCAGCTTTCACTTTCCACATTGTTGTTGATCACAAAAGGAAGTCAGGACTGGAACTTAAGCAGGTCTGGAAGCAGAAACTGATGCAGAGACCATGGAGTTATGCAACCTGTTTTCTTTAGAACCCAGGACTACCAGCCCAGGGAGGCCCTCCCACACTTGATCACTAATTGAGAAAATGCTTTACAGCTGGATCTCATGGAGGCATTTTCTCAACTGACGCTCCTTTCTCTGTGTTAACTCCAGCTTAACTCAAGTTGACAGAAAACCAGCCAGAACAGATAGATAAAATGGATAGATGATAGATAGATAGATAGATAGATAGATAGATAGATAGATAGATAGATAATAAATGATAGTTTTTAAATGCCTACATTTCAGTTATAAAGCTTAAATCTTTTCTCCTCTGATGGAACTATTTAGCTTGGTAGAACACTTTGCAAGTTTGAGTTTCACAGAATAAAACTTTCAGAGAATAAAAATGTTAAAAAATGTAAGATTATGAAAAGGAGTCCATGATTCTTCCCAGCATCTTTGCTTTTATCATGCAGACACTGGATTATTCTTTGAGCTGAAAATTACAATGAACAAATATTGACTTTGAATACTAAGTGTCTTTATATAGATTTCCAATTACCTTTCCTCTTATTTCTAAGTCCTGCTCTGTTTCTGTGTAAACTCTTCCCACAAATAGGCAGAGGAATTGAGCAGTGTAACCAGCAAGAGGAAAGAATCAGTGTGATGACTTTTAAAAAAAGAATGGATTTTCCCAAGTTGTTTTAGATCAAAGCCTAATGAGTCCACTTTGAGGCAGTTCACAGCAATCAAAGCAGGGTTGTTGTCAATAAACCTAGTAATTTGGCTCTTTAAACACTGGTAGATGCTATAAACTTCTGGTACTTTAGAGCTGTTTCTTCTAAAAGTAAGCTCTCCCCTATTTAGGTAACCATTAGATCACATGTTTCTTTTCTCCACTCCTAAAAGACTCCAAGGGCAAGCTTGTAGACGGTTCCAGAAATTGGAATGCTATACTTCTAGCAAGTGTTATATCTAGGATATAAAAATATCTTACTTCATGCTTATAAATTAAAAGAATCCCTATAAGAAAATATAACTATACTCTCTGTGATCATGACTAACACAAAACTTCCAAGAAGTACAATCTTGCTTTATCTGAAGAACTCTAAAAGTCTGAGAAAAAAAACAGAAAGTCAAAATGAGCAAGCAGTGTTCAGGGGTTAAGGCAATTTAGACTGGATTATAATTCTGTGTCGTCAAGCATTTTATGACAGGCCTAAAAAGGCCTGTCATAAATGTAATTTTAAAAATTAAATGCACTAAGTTTGATTATTTTCTTTCTTTTTTCTTTTTGTCTCATTTGCTAACAGTATGAAAGAAGTAGGAGGAAGCCATAAGCAATGGAGAGGTCTCCCGTCATCCACCTGTAAACCATGCCCTATAGCCTATGCCAGCCCGGTCTGCGGTTCTGACGGGCATTCCTACTCTTCACAGGTGAGGACAGCTCTACTTATTCGGTATAAAATAAATAAGACCTGTTGATCCTTGCTGTGGTTTGAATAGGATGTGACTGCAGAGGCTCATGTGATCCTTAACTGTTGTTACTGCTCTGGAAAGTTCTGGAATCTTAGGAGATAGAGCCACCTGAAGGAATTGGGTGTGTGATTGGAGATTTTGTAGCCTGGCCCCATTTCCTATCTATCCTTCCTCCCCCAGATCAGACCTAAGGTAACCTGCTGTCTCAGTGTGCTGACACATCCTTCCCGACTCCCTGCCACACTGCCCCACGCCCTCTCCCATGCTTTACTGGCCTACTTCTCTTCATGAATTCCTGCTGAGGCAACTCTAGCTTGCAGTTACATCAGATGTTTGGACACAACCACACAAAAGTAACTGAAGTTAATCAGCCATCTGTCTATATGGATTTTTTTCGTAAATTCTTTATTAGCTTTAAAGTAATATTAATAAACTCACTGGTTAGGACTATAATTTGAATAACATTTATTTCTCCTCTATGAAAATTATAGAAAGCTAGTTCATAGGAAAACAGATTACTATCAAGTAATTTCTACAGGTTTGAAATTATATTGGAAGCCTTACTTGATAGTGTTTTTCTAACAAAGTAATTAAAATCCATTCTTTAAATGTTGATTTTGAGTATTCTCTTTATGGTACAGAACATGCTGTGAAATGCTGACTTGCTAATACCATGGTTTGGGTAGATTGTATTGTCAGTAAACTAAACCTCAAAGCAATCCACATATCTTTCTCTTTTTTAATAGAAAACAGTTTTTCTCATGGACTATATTCTGATTGCATTTTCCTCCCCGTTTTAATACATATTTTAAAAATTTATTTGCATGAATGTCACTTTCAGAGGACACTGGCATTGTATGTGAAAATATAAAATAATAAATTTCAAATGAATATTGTTCTTCAGTTATTCTAAACCACTGTCTTTCATTGGATTATAGTGAATATAATTGTACGTATTAAGTGACCTTTTACCTCTGGACCATACAGTCTTGAGTGTTTGCACTGAGAACAGTAAAGTTGAGCTGCATAAAACATTAAGAACTAAAGAACCGAAGTTCTATACAAACTTATGTTAAAGTGTTCTAGTGAATCACTCTAAAAAATGAGTGTAATTTAAGCACAGGATTATTTTTCTGAAGATAAACATATAACCTCGGGCTATCTATGAACTACCTAAAGATAAAATATTGTAGAAGGAATGGTGTGGTAATTGTTCAGTTAATTATTGTTCTAACATCTTCTAAGTAGATGATGAAATGAGTGAAGGTAGGAATCTTGGAGTTTTTTGTCTGGCTCTCCATTCACAGACACTCTGAGCAGAGAGTGAGTACTAACGTGCAATAGCTTCAAGAACTTTCAGGTGACGGCTCTCTAGTTCTGTTACTTAGGAATTTCCTTTTCAGATTATATAATTAGTTTCCCCATGTTTGTTTATCATGATCAGCTACCAAATAGAAATGAGATTTTAATAATGTTTATATCACAAACTCTCAGTAAAAGCATGTCACTACACTGGGGACAAGTTGTGGTGCCTGGATGGGACAGAAGAGTGGGTTTCACAAGAAATCTGGTTGGATGTTTTAGGCAAATTATATAATCAGGATGTAATTTAAAACTATATGACTTGTTTGGGCTGGAAATATCTTAGTACTGGTTGTTCGCCTAGAGAACTTGGGTTTGATTTCTGACATACACATGGTAGGTTACAAACTTATGTAACTCCCTTAAATAAAATTTCAGAGTATCTAAACCTTTTTCTAGTCCCCATAGTCACAGTGGTACACATACATACACTCAGGCAAAACACCTGCAGACATAAAAATGAAGGCTATATTTTAAAAAGTGATCATTTTGATTGATTACAATATGTACATATTAATTGTAAGACTATCATTCAAAGACTAAAGATTGGAACTTTAATAATATCCTCAACAAAAAGTTTTAAAGTGGAAAAATTAAAAAAAAATAAAAACATCAAGGAACAGATTAGAGCAATTCAAATGTAGATTTACTTGAAAAATATTTGGAGCATATGTGATTTTCATAAGATATATTTCCGTACTTTCTCCATTTTTGTTATCAAAAGAAGTAAATGACCTTTGCAGAAGTATATTTAATCTTTCCTTTTCTAATAAAAAAAGCTAATGGATTCTGAATTCATTAAAATTTAGGAATGCCAGAAGAAATCAAAATATCACTCCATTCAAACTTGACTGAGAGGTAATCATTCTAGAAATTGACAGAAAAGATGAAGGTCTCTGCTTCTTTACTCCAGGCAAAGTGTAATGTGATTTTTATTCTAAATCTATGTGAACTAGGACTTATTCTCTAATACAACATCTTTGTTAGACCATGGATGTTAAATCCATCAGTTTATATAAACAGTGCTTTGCATTTGCTACAAGAATAAATCAATAAACAATATTAATGCTTTAGAAGTGAGTGGGGCATCAATAAAACAAATCCTCTGAGGACCATGAGGATGGTTGTAAGCTCTTTTCTAGTATATGTAGTGTTACCATACTTGAAACTTGAACTAAACAGGGGTGAATTTCTTAGGAATAGGCAATGCTTATAAAATCGTGTGTGTGTGTGTGTGTGTGCGTGTGTGTGTGTGTAAAGGAAGTTACTAGGAAGTTTATCTATTTCATCCTGCAACTCTGTACTTTTGCTATAGAAATACAGTAGAAATTGTCAAGGATAAGACTATGAATAGACACAGGCTTACTAGGTGAATTTTGTGTATAGATATAAATGAGAAACGTGATAGAATACATTCGTATTATTGTCTTTGGATTTTTATGTATATATACATACATACACACATACACACACACACACACACACACACATATATATGTATATATATACATATATGTGCACTAACATTAAAGAACAATTTTATTTTTTGTTGCTATGTGATGATATCCTATTTCAGTATCAATATTAAAATTATGTGCTTTATACTTTCTTTCCTTTGTCTTTGCATAAATGAAACATGTTGCTCCTTTTAATTATCATTAAATCTAGTTATTATACATGTACTCTGAAAAACAAAGAAAATGTGATACTTAACAATCTGAACTGTTAAGCAAATGTGTTGTTATTTAATTTTATCTTCCTCCCTGAGTATATTTTGTTTTAGTTGAGACTGTTTTTTGTTGAGAACAAAACTCAGAAATGTGAACATACTGCTGCTCTTTGAACTGCTTTTGATCAATCTCAGCCTGACCTTAGACTTACATATACAATCAAACTAACAACAACAAAAAAAAACACAGGAAAATAAAACAAAGAAGCACAAAAATAGGAGAAGGACAGGTGAGATACAGAAGTGGGAGAGGAGTCGGAAAGGAGGGGTAACCAAGACATGTGAACACATAGCATCATTGTATTGTCTAAAAAGGAGTTCAGTAGAACATGGAGAGGACACAGATTTGCCAGAATATGTTCTGTGAGATAACTGCTTACATTGGAGGGAATTATAATTGTGAAAATGTTTTCTTCAAGTTATTTTGATTTTGTATCAAACCTACACCCTATGTTTAATTCTTAGGGGCATATCTGGAAACACAATTATAAAATTTTATGAGAAAAATTTGACTTCTTAAATTTTCAATTTAAATGAAACAAAAAAACTAATAAATAAATAAATAAATAAATAAGATGATAGATAAGATATAAAAATAAATTTAATGCGGCCAAGGTTAGACATATAAATTTATTTTTATGAGAGTTCATCCAAACTGTTTTAGCACTATCTTATATACATTCATTTAATTTAGATAGTAGGTTTTTGGAATATCAAATATGAGATAAGTTTGAATAATTTTGCCATTGATTAAAAAGAAAGCCTTCTGAGCTGAAGGGGTTTACAACAACATAGGAAAAACAATAATATTAACCAACCAGACAACCCAGAGCTCCCAGGGACTAAACTACTAACCAAGGAGTATACATGGAGGGACCCCATGTCTCCAGCTGCATATGTAGCAGAGGATGGCCTTAGAGTAGAATCTTAGAGTAGATTAATATTAAATTGACATTCAGATTATTATAATCACAACAGTATTATATGAGTTATTATGAATAGAAATGGTAGTTGATAGCCTTACTACAAATTGTCAAATTAATTGAGTAATAATAATAATCTAAGTTTTTTTAATTTAGATTTTTTAAATAAACATTTTGTGCAACGGTGCTAACTAAACCATTATCCTCAAACCAAGTAACAGCAAAGACTGGAATCAGAGCCTAGTGAAAGTTCACATAGTTAACCTAGGTACTATTCTTAGGGACAAAACTGATTGATGTATTTTGTTATACGTGGATTCTGCATGAATGGTCTCTTTGAAACGCCAATTATTCATCAGTTACCATATAGAAATTACTATAGAAATAGCAGACAATATGAAAGATTTAAAAGAGCCTACAATGATCCAACTCATCAAAATTTATATTCTAGATAACAAACTAGGTTAAGCCAGGTTAAAAGACATCCATAACACATAGCAATGTAACTTGGGGACGTTATTCCAGCTGATATATTCGGGATGTTTTTAGAAAGTTCAGAATCATTATATTTACAACTCAATTTGAAAATGTGTTTCCTCAGCCAAAGATACATAATACATGCCTGCAAACAAAAGAATATAAATTGGCCAATGAATATTAATCAGTGCTCTAAATTGAAATGTTAGTGTAAAATTAATGTGTAAAATTTATATTCAGCAATGTTTACTTTATAAGAATGTTACAATGGCCAGGTGTGTTGGGGCAAGCCTTTAATCCCAGTATTCACAAGGCAGAGGCAGAGGTAGAGTCAGATGAATCTCTGTGAGTTCAAGGTCAGCTTTGTCTAAAGAGAGAGTTGCAGGTCAGCCAGAGCTTGTTGCACAGAGAAACTCTGTTTCTAAATAAATAAATAAATAAATAAGAAACAACCAACAAACAAAAAG